TCCTGGGCAGGGGGTGACGTCAACGCCCCTGGAGAGGCCAGGATGAGAAGTGGACAGATCCTGTCCCCCCGCCCGCCCCGTCCTGCAGGACGTCAACCAAAGCACGTAGTGAACCCGCGGCCAAAAGCCTTTGAAAGAAACTCTCTCAGTTACTGGGAGCCACAGACGTGCGTGTTCCAACAACTCCATGCTGCCGTCTCCCCGCCCCCACCACCGAATCCACAAACTGGCTGGGGAGAAGGTAGCGGGAGACGCGTCCTCCACCTGTGGCTTGTTAAGAGGCACCCGCCCTGAGATGCAACGTCACAGCTTCAAAGAAGTGTCGGATCCGGCGCGTGGCTGACGCCCAGGGATGCCGAGACTGGCAGCTTTCAGACTGGGCCATCACGGGGCATCCGGCTTCATCTTCCACAGATTCTAGAAGTTCCCACCTCTGGGACACAGGAGGCTGACAGATGGGGCAGCCTGGATGATGCCAGACGGCACCCGGCAGGCAAGCGGGAAGGAGACAGACACGCAGGAACACGCGACCTCAGACGTTATCACGATTGTTCACGTCATCTGCTCAGCCTCAACCAGGAAGCCAGCGCCTGTTCCACCAGGGAACACGACGAAGCGGGACTTACTCCAGGCAGACGGTGCACCGTTCAACTGTCCTACACACTAGTTAACCACAGTTTAAGATCGAGGAAACCAGGGGCCGGCATTGTGTTGCGGCGGGTTAAGCCTCCGCCCGCGACGCCGGTACCCACCATGAGCACCAGTTCAAGTCCCGCCTGCTCCACTTGCGATGCAGCTCCCTGCTCACGTGCCTGGGAAGACACCAGATGATGGCCCAAGTGCTCGCGTCCCTGCCCCCTCGCACAAACCCTTCAACCGCTGGGCCTCGGCCTCTCCACTGCAAACCACGGGCAAGGACACCCGCGTGGAAGGACAGTGCTGAGATCAGCCGAGACAAAGGATGACACGAGTGGCACGCTGCAGGTGGTTGACAAACCGCAGTGCTGACGCTGCTACTTCCGGACAGGGGTGGGGCAAGGAGGGTTCCAGTAACAGAGCAAGCACTCAGAGCAACGGGCATGTGTTTTGGCAAAGGGTGGGGAACACAGTGCACCGAGGCTCTCGGCACCACTGGGAGTCCCGGCTCTTCCACACAACGTTTGGCAAATCCCAGGGCCTCCGCGGTGGACCGCTGGCCTCCCCGCCTCCCCCAGGGACTGCCTGGCACCCCAGGGTCAAGGCCCAGGTCCAGGGCTGCCCTGCCTAAGCCCTGTGTCTCACTGCTCACTGCCACACAGGTTTTCCGGTGGCACGGGGCTGTGTTAGAGTCAGGGTGCAGCCTGGACCCACACTCCCAGCCTCCAGCTCTGCCCCATCGTCAGTGGCAAATCCACACTACCCACAGGGGCAGTTCTGGAAATCTGGCCTCTTCAAAGCCCACGCTGAAGTCACCAGTGGCGCCAGGCATGCCGGCCGTGAACAGCAACAGACACCTGTCCCCTCGTGTCTGTTTTTGCTAAGGACCTTCCCGCGGGGACGAGAGTGTCCCAGGAGACTGTAGAGGTTACTGACTGCAGCGGGGGGACCTCACGAGGTGCAGCGTGGTCTCTGGGAGTGCAGGCTGGACAAGGCGGTGGCCCGACCCTGGCCACGGCAGGTGTCTGAAGTCTCGGGACATGGCGGGAGAAAGAGATGAGAGCAGGAGACTGCCCGCTGTCGGCGTCCACTCCTCTCCTTTAAGAGCAGCTCGAGGGCCACCGTCCACCATCCATCTACTCCTCTTCAGCTGTCAATCACCCATCATTTACCTGTCACCTATGTTTCTATCACTTCATCACCCATCTGCTGTCAGACACATATGAGGGGACTTCAAAAAGTTCATGGAAAATGCTGTTAGGAGCTAAGTTTATTTTGGTGCAAAAACATTGGAAATCCATCCATAGTTCTTTCACAGCATGCATTTTCCAGGACCTTTTTGAAGTAGCCTTGTACACGTATGATACACACACACACACACACACACACACACGAACATATAACCTCTCACAGTTACGGAAAGCATACGTCCGTATCTTTGCTTCTCACTTAACTCTCGAAACAGCGCGAGCACCCAACACGGCAATGTCGTGTCCACGAGCACTCGGGGACGCTGGGCCCAGGCAGCGACTGCCCCTCCCGTGCTCGCGAGCGCCTCACGGTGCTGCCTCCTGTGGTCGCTTTCCCAGCACTTCCGTGTGAACCGCGTGTGTCTGCCACTGCTCCGCTGGCTCTCAAAGACCACGAGCAGAGCCTGAGGAGGGGCTGCTCTGACGGGAACCCCCAACAGAGCCTTAACACGCACCACACACGGCACTGACACACATCACACACCAGCAACACATAACACAGCCTTAACAGAAGCCACACAGTGCACTGACACACATCACACACCAGCAACATGTCACACACACCACTGACATGCGTCACACACAGCAACACATAACACAGCCTTAACACAAGCCACACAGTGCACTGACACACATCACACACCAGCTACACATCACACACACCACTGACACGCATCACACACCCGCAACATGTCACACACACCACTGACATGCGTCACACACAGCAACACATAACACAGCCTTAACACAAGCCACACAGTGCACTGACACACATCACACACCAGCAACACGTCACACACACCACTGACACGCATCACACACAGCAACACATAACATAGCCTTAACACAAGCCACAACATTGACATACATCACACAGCCTTAACACCACACACTGCAGTGACACACATCACACACCAATAACACGTCACACACAACTGACACGCATCACAACATATCACACACCATTAGCACACATCACACACCCTGCAATGCATAACACAGCCTTAACACAAACCACTCAGCATTGACATGCATCACGCAGCCTTTACAAACACCACACACTGCAGTGACACACATCACACACCAGTAACACGTCACATACCACTGACATGCATCATAACACACATCGACACACATCACACAACATTGACATGCATCACAGCCTTAACACGTGCCACACACACTGCACTGGCATGCATGACACATGACACATGACTACCACACATTTCATACCAGCCACATATAACACAGCCTTAACACACACCACAGACTGCATTGACATGCATCACACAGCATTAACACACACCATACTCTATACTGACACACATCACACAACCTTAACATGTGTGACACATTGCACTGACATGCAACACACAACCTTAATATGCACCACACATTGCACTGACACACATCACACAGCCTTAACATGCATCACACACCAGCACCCCTTAACAGCATTGACACGTATATCACACAGCACTGACACACGTCACACAGCACTGACACATCACACAAACTCAGTTATGCATCCAATCCTCCGGCCGATTCAACAGAGGGAGCGCAGGCCCAGAGACAGAGACACTGTTCTCAGTGCTGTGCACATTGGCAGGGTCCCCCCCCTACGGCCCTAGGCAGCCAGCACGGAACACAGGTGAGATGGCTGAATGTCCTTCCCAAGAGGGGCATGGGACGAGCCACACGCGTGACCCACAAAGGCTGTGGCGCCCCCACCTGCCATCATCTGAGAAGCACGACACAGCAGGGCCACGTGTGGATTGTCCACCAGTGCCACGTGTGGCCGTATGTGGCCGACAGCAGAAGTACGACAAGGGAACACAGAGTGGGTTATGGGCAGGCATCATCCGGCGTGCTGGGACCTGGATGGCTGCTGCTGCCCAGTGTGCATTCTGCCACGAGTATGTTGCTTGTGTCAGGAGAAATTTACCTTCAAAGATCCCCCTGTCCCCTAACTGGAACAGGAGCGCACTTGGAGCATCATGGAGACACAGGGACACCCCTGTCCCTCTGACTCCGAGGCCAGGACCTGCTGGCTGCTCCCGGGGCAGGACCTGCGTCAGTGACAGGTGCCACGCCCACCTGACCTTCCCAGACGGGGCCGCCTGTGCCCCTCCCTGGCCCTGATCCCCCCCTGGAGCTGCCTCTGAGTCGGGAAGCAGTGGTGGAGGGAGGGAAGCTGGTGGGGCCAGGCTTCCCCACCCGGGCTGCCCTCGCTGCTCCTGGGGCCACCAGGCCACCAAGGAGACAGGACTTGCTCCCCAGAGCCCCCTGTCCTGCCCCAGATCCAGCTTACGAAGCATTTGGTGGGCGCCTCCAACAGCCGGGGATTGGCTTGGCCCTCAGACCCACAGCACCGAGAAACGGCCCTTGATTCTGGCTGGTTCTTGGTGGAGCAGGCAGCTCAGCCAACAACATGGGTTGTGTCTGGGAGAGGCTGGGGCAGTCGGGTCAAGTGGAGACGATGCAGGGCGCTCGCCCAGCCTGTGGGTCAGCGGCAGCCCCTGACCCAGGGGCTTCCCAGGCCCACGCGGGAATGTGCTGGAACCCAGGAGACACCAGAGGGGCCAGGATAGGAGTGCTTTTGGAAGACAGGACGGCACGTGCCAGGCCCAGAGGTGGGGAACAAGCAGCCCTGGAGGCTGGGCTTTCAGATGCAAATTGAAAGTGGAGCACGTGCAGAAGTGCGATGGAGAGAAAGTTCCAGAATGCGGACCAGGGCCGGCCGCACGGGCTGTTTTGGCAGAACCTGGCATGGAGTACATGTATACCACCCAGCCATCCTGCGCGGTGAGAAACCTCGGGGCCCGGTGGTCCTCCCTGCCTCCAGCACTTCCCCGGGCAGACCCCGCTGGCGTTCCCACGGCATCCCATACACCCACTCAAGTGTTCCAAAAAGAGGCTTTTAGAATCCACTTTCAGCTCTTATTCACCAGGTAAGAGAACGGGGTTAAAATTCAAACGGAGCCCGAAAACGGAGCCGACAGAGTATTACGGACATCTGGACCCGGAGAGGAAACGCCATTGCTTTCTCCTTAAACAGCACCGGCTGCGCGGGGCGGCGCCCGTGAAGCCCTGGGCCCGGCTGGGCTCACTCACCACAGGTTGACCAGGAAAGGGTGCTCGAGCCCCTGCAGGATCTGCAGCTCCCGGAAGACGTTGCGAACCTCGTCCCGCTCGATGCACTGCTGCTTGTTCATGTACTTCATGGCGTACATCTTCTTCGTGTCCCGCTTCTGCACGATGCACACCTGCAACAGCCACAGGGGACAGCGTTGAGGCCGGGGGGCCGGGCGAGGAGAGCCAGCCCCTCCCTGTGTGCCTGCTCCATCCAGGGTCCGAGTCTCAGCTCTGGCTAAGCCACGCCCGCTGTGCACTGGTGAAAGGGAGGAGCTCTCCGATTCCCTCCCAGCATGCACCTGCCCGCCTGCCACCTGCCCACCTGCCACCTGCCCGCCTGCCACCCGCCCACCTGCGTCTCTTGGCCTGAGGACTCCCTCTTGCTGTTGCTAGGACAGCCCCTTAGGCTTCTCGTGCTACAGACCAGCAGAGCCAGGGGACAGATGCCCATGGAAGCAACACTCAACATGCGGCAGGTGGGGACGGGGGTATCCATACCCCAGCTCCCTCGCACAGCAGGCGGCCCCCACGGCTGTGAGTCTGCCCGGCCCTGGGAGTCCTGCCCTCTGCTGAGCGACAGAGTCATCGCCCATCTCCAGGCTGCAGTGAACACACAGCCGAGTCCACAAAGGAGCTGAATCGCACACACAGCAGGGCTTGCCACAGCCCGCACGGCCACGTGGGGGAGCTGCCCTCGCGCCTCTGGGCTTACCATGCAGCGGGGGAGGCTCGGTCCCCCCCTGCCCCCCAGCCCGAGTCCCATGACCACCTTGTGACTGAGGAACTACAGAGGCCAGCAGGGCCCGCACAGGAGTGCTGGAGGGAGGTCTGGCACCTGTCCCCGACAGCCCACGCTGCCCAGGCCAGGGAACCTGCAGCGCCAAAACAGAAGAAGGCGTCTCGGATGCCCCAGGGCCCAGCACCCTTCCACCCCCGCCCCCGAAGTCACGGTTAATGAGGTGAGACGCAGCGACTGGCCAGAGCCACCCAAGCCGCTAAAGGCCGGCACCCACTTAACATTCTGTGCTTGTCTAATTCAATCAGGACTGATGTGATTACAAGGTATTGGGACAAATAAATACACGTTAGCCAGCGAGCATCCCAGCCGGCCCAGTACAGCGGCAGCAGAGGCGAGGGGATGGGTGCCAGCAGCAGAGGCGAGGCCCAGGGACGCAGAGAGCCTGTTGGTGTGGGCTGCGCACGTCCTGGCTTCACTGTGCACTTGGGTCCCGCAGCTCGCACAGGGACCCTGCTACCCACGTGGGAGACCTGGAGGTCTCGCCTGGCTCCTGGCTGTGGCCTGGCCCAGCCCTGACCATCGTGGCTATCTGGGGAGTGAACCAGCAAATGGAAGATTTTCTTTCAAGGAAATAAGTCAATCTTGAAAAAATTTCTTACAAAAAATTAAAAAGGCAGATCCTGGGGTGGGCTCTGGCCGAGTGGTCAAGATGTCGCTTATGGAACCCATGTCCCAACTTGGAGCCCCTGGGCTCAATCCCCAGCCCTGCTCCCATCTCCAGCTGCCTGCCAATGCCTAGCCAGACAGGCGGTGGGGGGTGGCGCCAGTGGCCAGGCCCCCGCCGCGCACGCGGGAGACCTGGGCTGAGTCCCAGCTCCCAGCTTTGATTCCAGCCAGTTCTGGCTGTCGCAGGCATCGGGGAGTGAACCGGCCATGGTAGCTGGTGCTCTCTGCCTCTCAAATTAAAAAATACCAAGAGAAGAGACCCTAGCACACAGCTGTGAGGGAATGAACCAAACAAGGAAGAAGGCACCAACACGCAGGCTTTGGCTCGTGGGGGAGCTCCTCCCGACAGCAGGGGGAGGAGTCGGCAGCACCCCAAGAGGTGCGGGGGGCAGGGGAGGGGTGTTCTTAGAGCTAAGCTGAGGCCACTGCTCTCAGCCCGCACTGATGGGTCTTTGGAGTCATCGGAGGAACCACAGCATCAGAAACAGAAATGCCAGCAGGGACACGGCCCCAGGACCAGCCCTGGTGGCTCTTACATACCCTAGGGCTGAAGGGGAGGGAAGCTCTCGTCTGCCGGGCGCAGGGAGCTCTCGGCCGCTCGTCTGCTGGGCGCAGGGAGCCGACATTCAGAATAGGTGCCGAGCCGTGCGCTGAGCCGTGCACACGAGCAGTGGCGGCTGTGGAAGCAGGCAGGACTCCGCCCCATGCTCTGTCTGGGGCTTGCGAGCCATCAGCCATGGCCTGCATTCCCCGTCATCTTTTTTTTTTTTTTTTTTTAATTATCTGAAAGGCAGAGTTACAGAGGGAGAGAGGCAGAGACAGAGACAGAGAGATCTTCTACGTGCTGGTTCACTCCCCAGATGGCCGCAGTGGCAAGAGCTGGGCCAGGCCGAAGCCGGAGCCAGGAGCTTCATCCGGTCTCCCGTGTAGCTGGCAGGGGCCCAAGCACCGGGGCTGACTGCTGCTGCCTTCCCGGGGACATTAGCAGGAAGCGGATCCGAAGAGGAGCAGCTGGGACTTGAACCGGTGCCTGTGTGGGCTGCTGATGTCACAGGCGGCCCCTCCTCGTGGTCCCTAGCTTTGAATAAAACAACCCCAGGGGCCAGCAAATCCTGCCCAGTGCGCCTCACGCCCAACACGACCTTACTAACGAGAAATGAATAAACATCTCGTTAAAAAGAAATGGAGTCCACCCTTCCTGAAGAGGTCCTGTGAACAGTTAAGCCTTCGGTGAAAGCGTCGTCCCGGAGAATTCTAAAAACGGTTGTCACAGAGGAAGAGGAGTGAGCGCCAGGCTCGGGGAAGTCGGGCTGCTTGCCAAAGGCGCATCGTCAGCCAGACTGCAGCCGGAGCTCATTCGCTAACGAATCCACGCCATCCCCTCAAAGGGGCAACCACAGGTTCCGTGTCCTGCTTGGCAGCAGACGTTGGCTGCCGTGGGCCCCGTTGCCAGCGCCATCCCTGCCCCAGGACCCTTGCACCGGCTGCTCCTTGTCTCTGTGAGGTTCTCCCCGAGGATCTCCCCCTGCCCTGTTTCCCTCTCAGCAGTTGGGTGTTTGCTCCGACGTTTCTTCCAGAGAGAGGGCACCCTCGCCTCCTTGAACTAGGGGTCCCCCTCCAAGGTCGCGGGACAGCAACGTTTCTGCAGAGCCCCCGGAAATCACCATGCCCCCACCAACCACCAGCTGTGTGACATCTGGCTGCCAGTCAGGGACCAAGGACAGGACGGCTGCCCCTAGGCAGTGACCTCAAAACCCTGCAGTGCACCCCGCCATCCGCCACTCCCTCGGTGGCTCGTAATTCCAACGATCAAAAAGATTCTATAAGAATACATTTTTAAAGGGGAAAAAAACCCTGCTAAGTGAACCGTTTTTGAACTTCGAGTCATTATCTGTCAAATTGAATCCCTGCTTAATTCCCAAATGGATCTGAGGCAGTCTGGGGACTGTATGAGTTAGTCTGCATTAACCAAATATTTCTTTTTTCACACAGTGCATTTGCAGGCAGCTGTACAGGCCTGGAGACGGCGAGCAACATGACTGGGTAGGGGCTGAGCCCGGCCGCATAACCAGGCGCCGGCGGCTTTGGATCGATTTTATCCAGAATCTTCCTCTGAGGGACATAAAGAGCTATGACCCCATAACTCGGGCCTCTCTGTGACTTGATGTGCAGACGGCCTCCGGCTAGTCCATGAATTTTAATTAACTCCGTGTTTGTTTCCTCTGAGCCTTCATCTCCAGGCACCCGGGGCCCGCTTGCCGATCCAAGGCAGGCACTTGCAGAGCCGGCTCCTCCGAGAGTGCTCCCAGGGGCGCTCCTCCTTCCCCGGGGTGAACTCACGGTGGAGCCCTTCACCCTGGCACAGCAGTCTGTGCAGGGCGGAGAGGGAGGGAGGGAACGGGGGCGGTGGTGAGAATTGGGGGTGTCGGCAGTGCAGGGAGGCGGAGGCATTCACTTCTGGGCCCTAATCCTCAATTAATAAAAACCACGCAAGTAAATCTGACCCGTTTACAGTTAAACTGTCAAGTTCTTCATTCATAGCTGGTGCTATGGTGTAGCGGGCAAAGCCGCCAACCTGCGATACCAGAATCCTACACAGGCAGCGGTTCGTGTCCCGGCTGCTCCACTTCCAATCCAGCTCCCAGCTAATGCACCTGGGAAAGCAGCAGATGAGGCCCGAGTGCTTGGGGCCCTGCACCCGCGTGGAGACCAGCAAGAATCTTCTGCCTCCTGGCTTTGGCCTGGCCCAGCCCTGGCAGTGGTGGCCATTTGGGGAGTGAACCAGCAGGTGGAAGCTCTCTGTCTCTCCCTCTCTCTGCTACTCCGCCTTCCAAATAAATAAAATAATTATTGAACAGAAAGTTCTTCATCCATCCACATATACTCCTTGCTATAAGAGCTATTCACTTACATCATGTGTGCATATTATATATGAAGCTGGCCCGTACGTATCACAGACATTTGTGCTTGTGTGTGTGTATGTATGTATATGTATGTGTCTATAGACTGTATGTTTTGTCTGGGATATGTATGTGTGCATGTGTCCCTATAAATACTATTTAGTGAGTTGTTTATGTTACATGTGGATGGATATGTATACACATGTGTGTATACTGCTTAGTAGACAGGTGTCTGTGTGTGTGTATGTATTAAGGTACTTCAACACAATTAAAAGATGCCCATTTGGGTGTAGGCAACATTGAAATCCTTCCGTAGTGTTTCCGCACAGACCTTCCCCAACCTTCATGAAGACGCTCATGAGCCAAGACTTTTGCAGCAAAATAATTTATCATTCAAGTCCATTTTCCCATGAGTGCTCTCACGTGTGTGCATCTGTATCTGCCAATGTCTACACTGCCTGCTGCATCTGTGTAGACTGACCGCATCTCTGTCTACACTGCCCGCTGCATCTGTATAGACTGACCGCATCTATGTCTACACTGCCCGCTGCGCCTGCATAGACTGACAGCATCTCTGTCTACACTGCCTGCTGCGTCTGCGTAGACTGACCGCATCTATGTCTACACTGCCCGCTGCATCTGTGTAGACTGACCGCATCTCTGTCTACACTGCCTGCTGCATCTGCATAGACTGACCACGTCTATGTCTACACTGCCCGCTGCGCCTGTGTAGACTGACCGCATCTATGTCTACACTGCCCGCTGC